CAAGTATGTATTTATTTAAATTATTTAAGAACTTATATAAATTTATATATTAAATATTAAAAATTTTTATTTACAAAAGTATTAAATCTAATACATCAATTAGACCATTTGATTCTTATATTTCTAAATCATTTATATCTCAATCACTTTCAAAGAATGATAATAGTATTTTTGAAAAATTAATAATTTGAGCTACTGTTTCTGCAGGGTTTTCTTTACAATAGGTTGAAAATAAAGATGTTTAAAATCTTTTTTATTTTTTAAATCCAGCTTTAAAAATACCAAAACGCAAAGCTTTAGAAAGTCAAATTTTAAATGAAGAATCAAAAGCACTTCAAAATGAAATGAAACAAAAATTAAAGGCTGATATTATTGGTATTACTTTAACATTTGATGGTTGGACAAATGATTTAAATCAAAATATTCTTGGTTCAGTTTTTATTACATCAGAAGGAAAAGTTTTAATTTGAAAAGCAATAAATATTAGTGGGAAATCAGAAAAATGAAAAGAGATTTTTGATAAAACAGAAATAATGTTTAAAGAAATTAATGATATGCAAGTAAATCTTATTGCACTTGTAACAGATAGTGCATCAAGTTATACAGATGCAAGGTATATATCATACATTTTTTATTTATTTTTAAAAATATTATTTTTTTATTTATTAATAATTTTTATTTATTTAATAAACATAGACTTCAACTACAAATATGTACATATTACTTTTCTTTCATATTTTGCATATCAAATGAATCTTTTTATTATTGAAATTTTTAAGGAATCTAAAAAATTTAAAGAAGCTTTAATAAAAGCAATAAAAATTGCATTATTTTTAAGTCATCAAATAATAAATATTTTATTAGTCAACTTCAAACTTTACAAAAAGAAGCATATAGAAAGTATATTCAAATTGTTATTGGAAATGATACAAGGTAGAATAGTCATTATGAATGTTTTCATACTTTAATTAAATCAAAAGCTGCTTTACAGGTATTACAGTTGACCCTCTCTACATTCACACCTTATATAATCACATTCTCTTTATAAGCACACTATATTTTAGTTTTGATTTTTTAAAATATAAATACCCTCTTTATATCACATATTAATTATAATCACTATCACACTAATTATTAAACTGATATAATTAGTTAATATAATAAAATTTCCCTTTATATAGTCACATTATCACGTGATAAGATGTAAATAATATATTATACACATTTTATATTTTTAGTTAATAAAAAAAATGATATATGTATTTTATCTTCTTTTGGATTAATTTGGGTTGATAATCTTATAATAAATCTTTTTTAATAAAAATCCTTTAATTTTTTTCTTTCTAACTTTTTACTTTTTGAAAAATTGAATATTTTTAATGAAAATACATTTTACACTCTTTATACTTTTTTTTATAATGTTTTAACTAATTTCAATAAATCAAAAAGAACTTGTACTTTTATAAGTATTAATATAAAAAAAGAAATATGTGAATATATGTCAGCTAATTCTCATGTAAAACAAGATGCTGTTGCATTATATTTTAATAAAATATAGTGGCAAAAATATTAATAGAACCACTATTACAAAAATATGGTAAGAGTACGAAAAATGGCTAGTTGTTTTGTTAAGTTTATAAAATTTACATAAATTTCGTCATCATATTACACAATTTCCTGAATTTGATAAAATATTACAAATTTAGATATCTCAAGTAGTCGCAGCTGGACTTCCTCTAACAGATTTAATTTTACAATAAAAAGGAATAGAACTTGCACAAATGTTGAATATTAGAGAGGATCAATTAAAATTTACTAATAGATTAGTATGGAGATTTAAACAAAGAAATGGGACTTCAAAGATATAATTATTCTGGTGAATTAAATAGTACTCTACTTATAACTCTTACAGAAGAAAGATTACATTTGCGTGCACTTTTATTATTATATAATAAAGAAGATATTTATAATACTGATGAAACTGATCTTTTGTTTCAGATAGAGCTAAACCAAACACTTAGTACAGGAGCTATAGCAGGTCATAAGAAGGTGAGATTTATTTTTAATAAACTTTAAAATTTTTATTAGTTATAAATTTTTTAAATAAATTTTATTTAATTAATTTTATAGGATAAAACCCAGATGTCTATACTTTTTTGTGCAAATGCAACAGATTCTCATAAGCTTTATCCTCTTGTAATTGAAAAATATTTTAATTTCTGATGTTTTAAAAATCTTAATAAATCAACACTTTCTGTTACTTATCGAACTAATTCTTAAGCATGGATGAGGTCTGATATATTTGTTAAATGGATAAAAGATTTAAATTATTATTTTGAACAATGGAAAGAAAGATTTTACTTCTTGTTGACAATGCTAAATCTCATTTTAATCCAAAAATTTTTGAAGAGAATAATACTACCGAAACTGAATCTAATGATGAGAAAAAATTTAGTTATGAAAATCAAAGAAAAAAAAACAAATAAAAAGTAAAAAAAACACCTAATATTACTCTTACAAATATTAAACTTATTTACCTTCCATCAAATACTACCGTGCATTTACAACCTATAGATGCTGATATTATCTATAGCTTTAAAACAAAGTATAAACAAAAGTTTTGTAGAGATCTAATTCGTAAATTTGATTCTGTGATAAATCATAAAGTAAGTTATAAAAATCTATGATTATTTTTTTTTATTTTAATAAAATATAATAAATTAATTTTATTTATTTATTTATTTAATAATAAGTTAAATGTTAAAGAAGCAATAGATTATATTGCTGAGGCTTGGAATAATGTTACTTCAATGAATATTCATAATTGTTAGATGAAAATAGATATACTTTTGTCTGATAATAAATTTGTTGATGATGATATAAGAGAGCAAGATAATAAGAAAATTGCTAGTCTTCTTAATATTTTGCCAGATGCAGAAGAAATACAAGAATATTTTCAAATAATTGATCAAAATATACTAACTGAGAAATTTCTTACTAATGAACAAATAGTTAATATGGTATTAATTGAAGAAAAAGAAGAAAGTTATATTAAAGAGAGGAAAAAGTTCCTCCTATTTTAGTTAATAAAGCTATTGATAGATTAAAAACATTTATAAATTATTTTGAATAGCAAGATAATTTTATGTATAATATTGAAAATTTAAAAATATTTCAAAAGTATTTACGAGTAGCCAAAGTGAAGGATTTTAATTGTAAAAAACAAAGTACTATTGATATGTACTATTAAATATAAGTTTATAATAATTTTAATAATTTGTAGTTATGATAATTAGTAAAGAGATTATAGTTGATAATCTAATTTTATTGAAATAAAGGGGTTTGTATTGCAAACTTATATGAGTTTTTTGTGTTCTCGTTTGTGTAAGGCAAAAAAGTATAAATTAAAATTGAGATCATAGAGTGGGTGGTTGTGAGATGGAGAGGGAAAATATAAGTGTTTTTTAAAAAAAAGTATTTTCACAATATTATTTTTGTGATAGTTAGTTAATTAAATTTAAATAGATTTAATTTATTAAAGTTTTTTTCAAAAAACTTTTTTTTAATAAAAATTTACATAAGGTATGAATTAAAATAAAATGGTAATAAATTAAATAAATTTTTATTTTATTAATAAATAATGTTAAATTAATATAATAAATCACGTGAAATTTAGCGTCAAAAATCAGTAAACTTTATTAAATAAAAATCAATTTTTCACATAAAACTAATGGTTCTACTTAATCTAATCATTCTGGTCTAAACTGATCCTAGTCTTGTATTTAAAAAAGAAAAAAAAATATGAGAATTTAGAAATTTTTAAACAAACAAAAGAATAAAACAAAATAAGAAAATGAAGCTTACCATAACTGTTTAGAATCCAGATCTGAAAAGCTAAAAGAAACATCTAAAAAAAGAAAATAAATAAAGATTAAAGCAAAGTAAGAAAACAAACTTACTGTTTTGGATTCAGCCGAAGAGCCCAAAGATCTAAAAAAAAAGAAATTGGTTAATTAATAACCAAGAAAAAGAAGGAAAAATGAAGCAAAGAAGAAAAGAAATGAACGAAACTTACCAATTTGGATCCAGCTGAAGTATTGAAAAATCTAAAAAAGAAAGAAATTAATTAATTTAACAACTAAGCGAAAGGAGAACAAAGCAAAGAAGGAAGTAACAAAATACCAACATTACACTTTGGATCTAGCTGAAAAGCCCCAAAAAAGAAATTGGTTAATTAATAACCAAGTGAAAGAAGGAAGAACAAAGCAAAAAAGAAAGTAACAAAATACCCACCTTATATCTTAGATCCAGCTGAAAAGCCCAAAAATCTAAAAAAAAAGAAATTGGTTAATTAATAATCAAGCAAAAGAAGGAAGAATGAAGCAAAGAAGAAAGTAACAAAATATCCAACTTGCACTTGGATCCAGCCGAAGAGCCCAAAGATCTAAAAAAAAAGAAATTGGTTAATTAATAACCAAACGAAAGAAGAACAAAACAAAGAAGAAAAGAAATGAATGAAACTTATTACTTTAGATCCAGCCGAAGTGTTGAAAAATCTAAAAAAAAAAGAAATTAGTTAATTTAATAACCAAGCGAAAGGAGAACGAAGCAAAGAAGAAAAGAAACAAAAATTATCGCTTTGGATCTAGCCGAAGTGTTAAAAATCTAAAATGATAAACTATAGATGTAATAGATGTAATAAAATAAATACTGGTAATTTTATTTTTGAAATTACATAATCATATATAAGCACATCTCTATACAATCACACTATAAGGTGATCCCGAAGAGTGTGATTGTAGAGAGGGTAACTGTATATATATTTTTTATTTTATTTTTAAATAATAAATTTATTTTAATAATTTTTTTTATAACATAAGACTTTAGGATCAAAATTTGAACCTCCTGAATAATTAATATCTCATTATTATCCTAATGATCCATTATAACTTCCAGTTGAAATTGCGTCTACTTTACTTAATGAAAATTGGTGGCAATTACTTTTAGAACTGGTTAAATTACTTAAACCATATTGTAAAATTTTAAATATTTTATAATGTGATAAAGCAAGATTACATGATGTATTACGTGGATTTGGATTTTTTATAAAATTTTGGAAAAATTATAATGATTTAGAATTTGGAATAAAGATGCTCAATCGTCTTCAAAAAAGATGGCAAAATTAGGAACAACCACTATTACTTTTATCTTGGCTTTTACATCCTAAATACAAAATGACAAAATTTAAAATTAATATTTTAA